TACACGGGGAGCTGGCTGCTGGCCCTGCCTCTGGGAGCTATCGAATAATCATGTAACCACTAAAATTTGGTGTGGTTACAGGACTATTCAATTAAACGCTATCTAACATCCTTAACTTCCTTTTCATGGAAGTCAGGATGTTGGCATTGATCTATAAAGCTCTATTTGTATTCCTCTCCTCTTGATTTTTAACCTAGAGGTTGCAATGAGATGCTCAAACTGATAAGCTGTAAAATTCAGCGTCTGAGAGAGAGAAAGATGAAGTTCACAATAGAAATTTCTCAAACTCTTTTGGTCTGAATCAGACCAGTTTCGATCTTCACGACACATTGCAAACCCTGTTATATCTAGACTATTTTCAGGATTGCAGGACTGAGTAAACGTGAGTAGATTTGACTTGTTTTATATGGGGTTTTTAAAGACAGCATTGTGTGTACATCTAAAGTGTCAGGGTAGGTATCTTTTAATAAATCAAAATATATGTATAAAGAAGCTCTGGACATGTTTAGAGATTTCATAGTGCCAGTCATTGATATCTGTTTTGTAAAAAGATAATAGGGTGACTGACAATCAGCAAGAAAATAGTCTTAAAGGAAATTTAAATGGAAGTTTCTTAGTTATAAAGACAGATGTCTAATAAATAAATTACTATGGAAGTGTTTAGACCATAGTCAGATAATATCAAATGATTAAAAATTGCCAAAAAGGGGCATATTTTAGGAAGTCTGTGCTTTTGGTCTTTATAAATCTGAACAAATCTAGAACACAGAATAGTGGTTCAAACTTCTTCCCAATGCTTTCTAAAGGCAAAATGTATCTCAGGATGCCTATTGCCATGGAATGTAAGAGCTTCATGCACACCAAGTCTTTCAATGTTTTCTGGTAGCTGTGATGTTTTCACAATTATTATTCACAGCGTTCTACTTAATAATGATTTGATAAGGACTCCATTAATAGACTTCATACTTCACTCTGGTCCTGCATCGAGTCTCTTGTGAAGTCTTCAACATCATCTGCCCTCTTTTCTAAAGCATCAGTTTTAGATCCCATCTGAATGAAGCTTACACTCGGATGAGTAAGGGTGATTCAGGATCATGATTACAGAAAGATTTGCATTAAGCTGGATGTTTGATACCCTCTTCGAAGAGAGGATAAATGAGCCTTTTCTGTTGAGCAAACAGCATCTGAAACAGTTGCAACTAGTGGATACTGAGGTAGCTGACCAGAACTAAGTGTGCTTACTCTTGTGTATTCTCTGCTTTAGGAATCTCCACTGCATGAGAACCTGAGATTCCATTAGACCAGGGTTTCCCAACTTATGGGTCGGGACCCAAATATGGGTTGCCATTACATTTCAAAAGAGTCACCAAGTGTCTCCCCAGATGGCTCTTCCCTCCCTCTTCCCCCTGTTTTTTAATTGCCTTGGGTCACCAAGTCTTCCTGAATTGTCAAAATGGGTCCCTACCTGGAAAAGGTTGGGAACTGCTGCATTAGACTGATGCTCACATGTCTTTAGCAAGACAAGTAAGCCAAGTAATCTTATTGCTCTGTTCCAGAACTTCATTGCCTATGCATCTTTAACTGTCTTCTCTGTCCCATTAGGCACATACTGTAGGGCCAGCATACAAAATCTGCTCTGACCCCTCACCAGTATCCTCTCAGATTTTCTAATAACATCTCTTTGGAGTCTTTCCATTCCTTAGTGAGCATACTTGTCTTTAAAGAACATCAGCCATAGTTCTTTCTGGGCACACTTTTGAGGAGAAAATTTATTTTTATTGTGCTGAGTGAACCTCATTTTCAACACATTAATAAGAAATTCTAAGGTACCAACTGCCTCATGCGCTATAGATTGTATATAACCTTTATGGTAGTTTCTCACCAATTTCCCATGAGCTTTTAAAGATTTAATTATAATTTGACTAAAATAGATGTCCTTAATAACTGGTGACCAATTTTAAATAGCCTTTGTGTAGAATATTTTTCGTATAAGAATGGCATCTGAAAAAGCTCTTGTTCCTGCACTGCAGTCTTTTAAAAGGATGTTTCATAATGTCTGATGCAGTCAGTACTTGACCCTTTGTTTTATAGAAAAGTATTTGGATTTATTGTTGTGTCTAAGTTGGATTTGTGTTGATGAATGTACAATATTCAGTATCATTTGGCTCAAACAGTATTTTACATGTGAATAGCTGCAAATTATATATGCAAATTATAATAGGAGCCATCAAGAGAAAAATTACACTCCATTGTTGTCCTACAGGTTTCATATTCATCTACATAGTATCTTCCAGTAAAGAGCAAAACAAAAAAAAACCACCTTTTCTAAAGCTCTGTTTTTTGTCTGCAAATTTACTTTGCTGGCAGGTATCGGCACTGCCTTGTCTTCTCTTGCATATGGCCTGATCCATGAATTAATCATATATGTCAATGATATTGCCACCTGCTGTTTAGTAAGTATGGAAGCTTTGCTTCCTGGGCTGCATCATTAGTATCATAAATATAAGAGCCAGTCTCTTCATGTTTATAGAATTAAGGTTGTTTCTCTGTTTTCAAACATATAGGACCAGGCCCTCGCATGGTCTAAATGACTGCAGCTCTCTTGACTGCAGTGGAACAGCACGGATTTACCAAGCATCTGGTCCATAATTTTTAATGGTTTTTATATGTGTCTTTGGGGCCAAAATTCTGGAATCTCTCCTTCTGCTAGTAAGGCATAGTCTCAGCTTTGTGTGGCCACTACTCATGTTCCAATGTATGTTAGTTAGGAGAAGAAACTGGCTGGTAGACAGTAGTCATGTCTACCTCTTCTTCTTGCTGCCTTTCTTCTGCTCTTCACGTCTGACCACTGGAAGGAGAATTCGAGGGACACACCAAAACGTTCACATTCACATGTCTAGCAAACCTCACTACTAGAGCAGGCACTTGGGGACCCAACCAGAGTGGCTCAGGGATTGGGAATGGCTTTTCATCTCTGGCTCCGCAGCTGAACCCATTCTAGAGTGATAAAGTAGCATCCAACTACCTTCTAATGACTGTTTGGCCTACATGAAATGAGTTGGTGGTGTCAGTTCAGTGTGGAATAGTCAGGTGTCCATAGTACAGATACCTCATTGTTGACTGTCTCAGTGAAGAACCTCTGAGCTGAGTGGACATAAAAATGGAAGGATCATCTTATCCTTCCACATGAACACTGAGGTGTGTGAGCAGAGAGTGTGGGGAAGCTTTCACTGTCACTGAACCCTTTGTGCCCATTTCACAGATAAGCAGACTATTTCAGCCACGAGGACTGTCAGCCAGGTTTCATATTCTCTACACTAACACTCCTGCTAAAGAATGGCATGCTCAGTAGAGATCTGGCCAACACTACTGCTTATTATTTACAGCTGATAAGAATCCAGACTCTTCAGCTCATCAGGGTTTATAATCTCAGCCTCTTTTCTTTCTCTATCCACAGGGTCATTGGTTTCCTTGAAGCTATTGTGTGTATAAAGTTTGGTCAAGAGCTCTTCTCCAAAACACAAATATTGTATGTTGTATTATGGTTTCTTTGTGTGGTAAGTGAGACTTCTCTCTCCTGAAACATAATGCCCAGCAATGTCTTGAGAGCCCTGGAATAGCCTCACAAACTAAAAGCTGCCTGAAATAACTTAGGTTAGGGCACACATCTCTCAAATAGTGCAACTTTGCTGTTTTGGCTGAAACTGACAGGATGATACTTCCTGATTACTAGACATCATGGGGAATGCTTAAGAAATTTAGGTGATAACCCTGATTCCTGCAATGCAACCAATCTGTGGAATGGCAGATTCTTAAGGGGATCACACTGTGGGGAAAGGAATGGTGAAGAGCTTCATAATGAGGAAGATGAAGAGTAAATGTGAGCTAATTTAAAATTGTTTTTTTAAAAACCTGGACTAATCTTTTCTTCTGTCTGTGATGTACAGAATACAGGCAGTCCCCGGGTTACGTACAAGATAGGGACTGTAGGTTTGTTCTTAAGTTGAATTTGTATGTAAGTCGGAACTGGTACATATTGTAGGGGAAACTCTAGCCAAACATTTCTCCAGAGCTCAGTTTTATTCTCCCACACCTCACTTCCCTCAGTCCTTTATTCTCAAGCTGAGGTATCTGCTGAGAAAAGCCGCTCCGCGTCTCCCTGGTCTGCTGGCGGGGGGGCGCTAGCTTTGTGTCTCCCTGGTCTGCTGGGGGGAAGCAGCTAGTGCGGGGTTGCCTCACCCCGTTTGTAAGTAGGGATCCGATGTAAGTCGGATCCATGTAACCCGGGGACTGCCTGTATAGTCATTCTACCAACACTTTAAAAAGTAGTGAGTCAGGCACTGGTTTTTATTTCCTTCCTTCCTTCCTAAAATATGCATGGGCCTAAACTAACAACTCAAAGTGAAACACACAGTCCAGCCCAAGTGTACTCTCCAGTTCTGATTGCTCCTAATACAGTACTGTATAGTACTAATACAGCACTATATTGGAAAAGAATTACTGACATGAGGCCTCAATTCTGCTCAGGAAGTGATAGCTTACTCATGTAAACGGTTAACTAATGAGCCTGGGTTCATCGATTAACCTTCACAGTTACATGCAGGCCCCTCCCCCACTCTTGCGCTGCTGCCTGTATGTCAGAAGGCAGATGGGAACTGGTGCTTGTGGGGAGCTTGCTTTTAAGCTGGCTCCCAGTGTGTACCAGCTCCTGTGGAGCCATCTGGCTCCTCCCTGCCCCCATGTGGCTGCCTTTGGTACAGAGGCAGCAACGGGGAGTGGGAAGGAGCAGATGGCTCCATGGGAGCCGCCTCCCCGCCATGTGCAAATGTTTAATCACTGAAAATTTCAGCAGTTACATATTTACAATGCATTTTAACATCCCTCTATTCTGCAGACCTTATGTATTTGGGCAGTCTGTACATATACAAGAACTGCTGAATTCATTACACAAAGGCTTCTGAATCCCATAAAAGTTGCAGACGTGCCCTAATACTCTGAACATTATTGATTGTGCTATGCATTTGTAAATATTCTCTTTGATAAACAGATTGGATTTTCTGATATTCTCTGAAACAAAGGACAAATTCTCTCAACTGGAGCATCAGCATTGACTTAGTACAGTTAAATGAGTAGAGATCTTAGCCCACAGTTCTGTAAACATTTTTTTTCTACCTTCTTGCAGGCTTTTATAACTTTCCTGTGTTTATATGGAATGGTGTGGTATGCTGAGCACTATGACCACCGAGAAAAGGTATCTTGGCAGGGATGCAATTTTTATTTTAAACCAAAATTAAACTGCAACACGGCCACCTCAGTATAAGTTCTTGTAAAGAGAACTCTGACGTAGGAATCAAGGGCATGATCCAGAACCCTTTGAAGTCAGTTAAAATCACTTCCATTGAAGTTAGTGGGCTTTGGAGTGGACCCAAAGTGTGTTGTAATCTCCAAGGAGCACTGTAATCCTAGCTGTATGAAATGGGGCTGGAACTTTATCAAAGACTGGAATAATAAATAACTAATACCACCACTGTCTAGGCAAAAAGACAAGGAGAATACTAAAAGTGTTGGGAAAAGTGTTGTTAAAGGACAGACCACCTCTCAGCTGTTTTATTTCCCTTTTACAGGTCCTTTATTTCCATTAGCATTTTTCTCAGAATTCTTGCTGCAATTTTAATGCTACAAAGTCCTAACTGAAAATATAGTGGAAAGGAGAACCCTGGATTCAGCTTCCTGATATGTTCTTCTTGTCTTTACAGACCTTGTCAGAAAGTGAGGACAGCCCTTACAGCCCAGATGCCTCATGGCTTCATTCTAAATTCACTAAAGGTACAGCTGCTCTGCACGCACCTTCTCAGTGTTGTATCATTGGGCATACAGCTCAGCCCTAACAAACTTAAGAAACCCTCAGTACAGATAATGTGATTTACTTTCTGACCCCTGCAATTGAAGTGCATTATAGAAATAAGCTGCAAAGCCACTTCTGTTTTCCACCACTGATTTTCTTTCAGTTTGTTAGAATGTGTTGTAATTTTAATGGAGCTAATGGCTTTTGCTCCTATTGATGTTCCATTCCTTCCTGGTAGCAAATGTTTCAGTTTGGAGAATTTCATAACTTTGTTGGGCAGGTTTTCTCACTCAACGTCTCCTCTGTGGGGTCCAGGAAACATTTGAATGTGAAATTTGCTTTCATGCCTGCTTGTTGTTAAGCAGGCACAAATGTGCCCAAGAGCTTATGTTCCTACTGACACTTACTAAGGGCTTGACTACATGAACATTGAGTTCATGGCAAGTTGGGGTGCCAGCCTATCCTGCACTAGCCTGCCACAGCCTAACGCTCCATGTGGACCCTACAGATGTGCGTTTTGTTTCAAAGAGAACTAGATCAAAGTATATTAGTTAATTAGCTTACTGCAGGTCACAGGGTCCACACAGACAATTAAGTAGTCAGCTTTTCTGTTTTCCTTTTTACTGCAATGAAAGTCAAGTAGGCAGCCTGTTTTCTCTTTCTCACACTTTAGTGAGGGCTTTCCTGTGGAAAAAGGACAAGATTAACATCTGGAAACTATCATTCAGAGGTTACGCTCCAGGTGTATTTACATCATTAAAACAATATTTTCTGTTCATTGTAACTTCCTGGAGTCCCGACACTTGAAGCACTTACGTTTTCTTCAGTTGCATGCACAGATTTCCCAGGTTGCTGGTATTGATTTCTCCTTGCTTGTTATTTAAAGAATAGTACTAGACTGAGTACTTTAAAAGCTATCTACTTTCATATACTGTATATTTTTCAGGCATAGAAATAAATACTTCATCAGACCTATTTGCCCAGTTGCAGACTTTCTGCTCAAGTATGCAAGAGGTTAATGTCAGTGGGACAGTGTGTGACAAAAATTCAAAATGAGAGATACTAAACAATTATTCATGCAGGAAGTTTGGTGATGTGGAGATTCATTCCATAACTCTCTCAACCTCATTTTTGAGAGTCTTAATTTCTAATGTAAATTATTGTCAACAGTCTGAGGAAAGGGATACCAAATTTATGCATTAAAATGAGTGACATCCGTTTAAGTGGGGGACACTTCAACATCATATTTTAATTAGCTAAGTTTTTGAAGCTGCCTGGAGAAAGATGTTTTCTTGCAGAAGCAGAGAGAATAAATGCTTCAATTTGACCACTAGATGGAGTGCTAGTATCAAACTATTAGTTTCAACTTTCAGTACTTAGCTTACATTTTACATATATAAGGAAACTAAAACAAAAAATGAAAACAGCGAGTAATAGCTTTCAACAGTTAGCTCCAAATTTGATTTCTTTGTAGGTACTGAAGATAGTCCACCAAAACATTCAAGCAACATTGAGAGCCATTCATCTAGAAGAAGGAATCGTCATTCCAGAACAAAAGTAACCAATGGAATTGGCAAGAAATAAGTTCAGTATCTAAAAATGTTCCAGAATGTGCCTAGAAATGAGAAGGAAAACTGGACCCAGTTCTTACTTCACCTTTAGAAGGTTAATGAGAAAACAGGAGAAGAGAGGGGAAAATGTTTGCAGAAACTGAAGGATCTAGTACCTTTTAAGATATAGCCATCAATGTATTGCCTGTTGCTATGTGCCATTCACTGACTTAAATAGAATTTCTTCAGCACTTGGCATTCAGAAACAAGTAGTAGTGTGCTGAAAGGAAAAACAGTTTGCTGTTGGCAGATGTTCAGGTATCATGATTTGCATTTTTAATATCTTTGTTAGTGAGACTATTAACCCAAAAGTTAATGGACGATAAGCAGATGTTTGCGGTGTTTTGTTTGATTGGGGGAGGGGAACACTGAGGGATTGGCTGGTTGGTTTTGTGTCTGTTTTGATTAGTTTCTTTATTTTAAAATATACATAGTCTTTGATTAAAAGCAGTTCTGCCCTTCATTCTCAATCTGACAACCAAATTTTTCAATACTAATGGTTCTTTTTTTTTTAAATAAATCCAAACTCGTATCCAGTTGCTCATTTCATGACACACTCTCCACTTGGTGGCAGGATGTTACCAACTGGGGAATGTGTCAGGGATCTTGTAAAAAAGGTTGCAGAGTTAATTTCAAATGTTTCCTTGTTTAAGATTCTGTTCTCTAACCCATTTGTTCAAGCTTAATTCAAATGCATATATGAACCCTGCTACACAGTAGTGAGGGCTATACCTATTGACCCCAGGGGCAGATGTAGTATAGTTCATTTTACTTACTTCCTGCCCCAATTTACCACTGTGTATTTATTGCCGTTAGCTGCGTGTAGTGTTGTGTATAGTAGTAGTGGATATTACTCTTTCTATTGTGCCTGCTTTGTAAAATACTCGCCCCTTGATTCGCCTACATTTCAGATGTGATCAGATTGTAAGTTTTAAATAAGAATTGCATTGAAGGTTGCTTGGCGGCCTTCAGTGCCTGAGCATTGTGGTGATCAGGCAGCTTCTTCATGAAGCAGTGCAACTCACTTTTTTGTGCATTTACAATCCCTTGTAAAGCTTCAGTGTTGCCGAGAGCAGAATGAGTAAGGCATTATTACTGTGTTTATACATCTTTTTCTATTTCCTAACATGCTATCAAATAGTAAACAGCAAATAAATCGCATATTTGAAACATCCATACTAATTATGATCTCAGGGTGAGTGATTTGCTCAAACTGTAGCTAGCATAATGATTAATCTTTAAGTAAACCTTTGAGATCTATCAGTTGCTATACTATCAGATTTTTTTTTTTTGTGCCAACTAGGTTGTGGGGTCTATATACCCAGAGAATTAGCACAGCAGACAAGTTAAGAAAAATAAATAATACCTGTATGAGTCACAAGTCCATATAACAACTAAGATTTAATTTGTGCGAAATGTTACTGTGATTTAGCCATAGGTTATATACTATAAAATGATGTAAAGATTTTATCATACAAATGTATGACACTGTAAGTAGAAAAATTATCCTATGTGTATTCTATGATGATTTATGTGCCACAAATTATCAATGCTTGGAATGCACTTATTATGCTGCTGCCTAACTCTAGCCCTTTTTATTTTCTTCAGTCCAACACAAATGTACAACTTGAGAACTAAATTGTATTGAAAGCTGCTATAAATTTTTTGCTGCAACTATGAGGCGTTATACAGGAAAAAATGTCTGGAAAAATGTTTGGATTTTTCTGCAACTATTCTATTTTCATTTGTATTACCAATGCTGTGGCATCTTATTGTTGAATGTATTGGCAAGTTTCTTTGGCCATTCAAATTTGTTACTTTTGTATTTTGCTTGTTTATAATGCCGTCAGTGCAAGACTGAGGATGATGTTGTGAATTGTTTTTCCTATTGCTTCAATACCAAAGCAAGAAGTTGATGTTTAACATTATGTTTACATTTTGTATTTTAGGTGTATCATTTTAAAGAACACTGTTTTCAAAGGTGAGAGCCTGTTCTGTACTTGCAAAATGTGCACACTCGCATTGCACATGTAAACACACCCTTGCTTGTGTAAATGGGGCTTCTGTATACTGTTATCCATTTCCCTCACACAGTGGGTAGATGCAGCCTTTTGCAAGTATAGAATTGGTACTCAAATTTGTGAAGTAGACCCTAAAAATTTAGAAAAGCAAATAAGAAAGTTGAAAGTTCATCTGCTGAAGTTTCTGACTTCTGTCTTCTGTTACAATAGCGTAGGTCAGACCAATAAAACACAGGTCAGGACCTTTAACTCATAATGCCCAGGGGAAAGGAATGTTCAGAAAAAACATCTTTTATTTGTTTTCCCTAATGTTTTTGGTGTTACTTCTTTGAAAATTAAAAGCAGAGTCGGGGAGACGGGGAAATTAAGTAGAGGGTTTTTTTAGGTATTTTTTGAAAAATGGCACTGTTCACCCTCAGCCAGCAATCTCGGTTACAATTGACAAGTATTCTGACAGTTCATCTGCTGGCTGACAAGTGCTCTTGCCACTCTGTTTTGCATGGTACTGGGCCTTGTATTGGAACAAATTGGAAGGAGCTTTTGATCACTGCTTTAAATCTGAAGTAATTATCGTTCCCTCCCCCCCCTTATTGCTGAATTCCATACAGTTCATGTGCAGTGGCTAGTGAGAGTGATGAATAATGTGCTGTTATATTAACTAATTTCCTTGTATCAAGAGTTCTGCTGCTTGAATAGTTGTTGTTACTGTTACCAATGCACTATCCCTTTTTACCCATTCTTTGTCTTTCCATATCTTCCCATTTCACCTTCTTTTAGTTTATTCTCTCTCCTGTTATTATCCACAGCTACGTCTACACTGCATGTCTCTTGCGCAAAAGCCTATGCAAGTAAAACATGGATTAGCATACTGCCACACTTCCTTTGCATAATTAATTAGAGGCCGTTTTTGCGCAAGAGGCTTTTGCGCAAAAAGGAGCGGTGTAGACCGCTCCTTTTTGCACAAAACCCCCCTCTTGCGCAAGAGCCGTTCTTCCTGAAAAAATGAGGAAGAATGGCTCTTGTGCAAGAGGGGTGTTTTGTGCAAAAATGCCCCCAATTAATTATGAAAATGAAGCGTGACAGTGTGCTAATCTGTGCTTCATTTGCATAGGCTTTTGCACAAGAGGGGTACAGTGTAGACATAGCCCTCCAGTTTTAAAACAAACTACCCCCTGCCACTGAAAAATTTGCCCTCCAGAGACTGTACTTAATGTCAGTCATTGAAGGGAGGCAAATTCAGTCCAGCATGGCATAAGCAGACGGTAGTGGTGGCAACACTTCACAACACTGAGTGTATTGAATAGCAATAGACAGTTTTCAAGATGGAGAATGCTGGGAGGGCATAAAGTGATCTGGAACCACCAATAATGAACTTCACTCCCAGCTTATCAGTATTGAAGCTGGATGAAGAGTTAGGTAAATCAAATACAGTATCTAATAAAATGCATGAAGGAGCTTGATTTCTGCTGTTCTTTTGTTCCTCATTTGTGAAGAAAACAGTTTGCAGTTTCATCTGTTAAAGCCTCGGTACTTACTACATTATCATGAGATAGCACAGGCTTGCCATGTATTTTACATTGTTTTCAATAGAATTGCTCTGTACTAAGTGCGAAGTATCGTATTTTGCAGTAACTCAGTAAACCAGCCTATGTTGCTATGATGTGTTTGTCATCTGTATACAACAGGTTGCAGCATGTGACCTTGCTAGCAGCTGTTAATTTTTATACTACTAATTGCAGACTGGCACATTCATCCAGTTATCACAGAATCATCTGAGGCTATAATACTCTGAGGTGTCACTGAAAACTGCAAATTGGGAAGACAGCAGACTTTTAAAATACACAAGTAATATTGCAGCATTCTGTTGCTGCTGACTTTCCTTCTCAGGGTTCTAGCAGGCAGGACACATCATGAGAAGCTTTCTGAAAGATGTACTTGTAATGCTGATACTCACGGTCTGCAAAACTATGGCCTGTTTTACATGAGAGATACAGGACTTGTAATTTACAACCAGCCATGTGCATTGCTACCTCCATTTAATGAAGGGTAGCCGTGTTAGTCTGTAACTTTAAAAACGAGTAGTCCTGTGGCACCATGTTGGTACATTAAGATTGGATTCATCCTCAGTAGAATTTGTGTAGTAATAAATCCTGAATTTCCTCATATTTTAACAAGTACGGTGTACTTTAACGAGTACATGTTGAACCCTGAGTTAGTTGTATGGACTTTAAGTGATTTCATATCCCTTTGTCAGAAACTCCTGATGTCTCAATTGTGGATCTTATCCCAGTGTTTCATTGTCAGTCTGCAGGCCTGGTCTCCTCAAGCGTGGGAACAAGTCTCCTAACGCAAGGGGGCAGTCTTTAGCTGCCACTGTGTTCTAGAGTGATTTATGACCTGGCAAGAGCATAAACCTCAGCTCTTCACTTAAAAAAGAAGAAAAAAAGCAAGCCTGGGAAAGAATGCAAATTATAAACACTGAATTCCTATAATCAGCAATAATGCAAGCACCAGACTATACTGCAGTGTACATATGGATTTAATTTTAGTATTTGTTCATACTTTTAAGGTTGCAGATAAAAATGAAAGGTCCTGCTGACTTATTCTGTGGGGGTAGTCTGTTTATTTTTTAACATGCAATAATTTTATGAATTTTACAGGATTTTTCAGATAAACTTCCCTCCATCTAATTTAAGACCTGGTTAAGTGCTTTGTGAGTTTTTTAAAATGCACATTGTTAAAATCTGCATAATTTCATCTATATATCTCAAGTGTATATTTTCAACAATATGCTTGATATCAACTTGAACTGTTGTCTCTTCTGTGCATTAGTAGTCTCCCTTTTGTATGTACATATTACCTGAATTTTTAAAAGTTGCTTTGTAATTTTGGATGGCCAACTTCATTGAGCCCTGGCCTGATGTTTCAGAGGAATCTACAGCTTTCCCATTGACTTAAATTGCATGTACTGTACACACAACTACACACTGTTACTGTTCTCAAATAACATTATACTTATTGAAAAATTATAGAATCCTAGAGTCCTAGGGCTGAAAGACTTCAGGAGGTCATTGAGTCCAACTCCCTGCCCAAAGCAGGACCAACCATAAATCGTCCCAGCCAGGGCTTTGTCAAGCCAGGACTTTAAAACCTCTAGGGATGGAGATTCCACCACCTCCCTAGGTAACCCATTCCAGCGCTTCTCCACCCTCCAGTAAAATGGTTTTTCCTAATATACAGCCTAGAATTCCCGCACTGTAACTTGAGACCATTGCACCTCCTCATCACTACTGATAACAGCCTATCTCCATCCTCTTTGTAACCTCCCTTCAGGCAGTTAAAAGCTGCTATCAAATCCCAAAAATAACCATAGCTTTTTGAAGTGTTTTAATTAAAACATTAAATGGTAGCTTTCACCTTGATAGCTTAAAAAATAGTCTTTGGAGAGAGACTTGTATTGAGTTTCCAGAACAGAGCCATAATCACTAGTTTGTTGTCCAAATAGCTTTCCTGTTGGAAGGGAGTACACCTCTCCCCAGCAGTCCTTTGGGAGGGGATCTATGGGCACGGTCCTCCTGGCTTCCCTCCCATTACCAACATGCGTTGGGAGGGATATGGAGCTAGGAGAATGACTGCTATTTGAAAAGGCTATTCAGTCTAGCTAAGGAAAACTCCCTTGATATGGCTGCCTATAGTGTGCCATACCATGACCCACAATGCTTTGTGCTCTTTCACAGGAGCCAGCATGTCTGGGTGTGGTAACGAGGCTGCAAGCTTGCTTGCTCAAAACTAATTCTCTTATTCTTGTATTTCTGGTCTTGTTGGAGGAAATGAAGACAACTAAATACAAAATATTTCTTTCTCTATTATGTGCACTGGGATTGGTGAAAAGTCACTAAATCCTAGCAAATTTTAGATCTTCTCACACACCTCTAAATAATTTTTTTGCAGTAAAGCCAAGACATGTTAAAAAGATTTTGAAAATGCTATTTATAACAGAAACCTCAATGACAGCTACTTTGTAGGAGTTAGTGTTGCAACACGTCCACGTATTAATGTCTAGGTGATCCTGGCTGTTTGGAGAGAATCCATTTCTGTTCTGATTGATAGATGATCAGGTGTTTCATAACCTGATTCATCAATCAACACTCCAGGGTTCTGAGAAAAGGAAAAAACCATTGTCACTAACTCTTCTGTATTGCTATATCACAGATGGAAAGGTACAGTGTTGCTTTTTTGGTTTTAATCTGACTTTTAGCAATTATTATCACCAAGCCTTGAATGGAGGAGAAACAATACAGTAAAGGAACTAAGGTATATTTTTGTTAACCAAAAATATATTCTGCCAAAACTTGATATACCTTTTATTAAATTAGTCAAGATGATGTGGTTTCTTTCTCTACATGTGCTGGAAGCACAGTAGGTGTCCCGAAGCACACAGTGTTGCCATTTAAATGTTTTCTTTTATATATATTTAGTTCTGCATGTCAGCTTGTTTTGCCACATTTGGATCAGAAGTTTGCTGGGATCAGCGCATTCCATTTGACCGCATTTAGAATAAGTTAAAGACTAGCAGGGAAATAGATTGGGGAAAAAAGCTAAGGAGCAATGGAAGTACTGCAGTTTATGAGCA